TGTATAATACAATTAAGAAATAATAAAATTATATATTGATCAAGTCTTTGAAAATGCTCCAATTAAACTTAAATAATAATTATAATGAGCATATGTATTGATAAAAAACAGACACTAAACCAGAGTATATATTATATTATATTATTTAATTATGCTTTTATATTTTTGACAAATTTGACAGGTTTTCTTGATTAACTTGTATTAATCGACACATTAAATCATATTAATTCGGTAGCCACGCGAAAAATATGACTCGTCTTATGTCCAAATATGACTGTCGTCTATCAGGAAGACACTGATTATAATTCACGAACAAGCAAGGAGCATGCATGTCGCGATTATCGCGCTACACGCGGAAAGTGAGACGTCGATTCGCCATATATCGGTTCGACATATTGACCAGAAAGATTGGCCAAAAAGATATTTTTTACACATTTTTGCACTTTGCCGAAAAAAAAGAAAAAAAGATGAAAAGATTTTTATGTCTTTCGGTAAGACAAAAAATATTTTTTAGTTAATTTGTCGCTTTACCGAAAGGCGACTATAAACTTCCTGAAAATGTCGACTTTAGGTCGACTTTCAGTCTATAGTTAAAGTCGACAATAAACCATCTTATAAGTAGTAGACTAAATGTCGACTTCAAAAGTTGACTTCAAGGTGACTAAAAAATGTCGACTATCAGCCGGCAAACAGTCATTTGTGCTATGTGGGTTTTTCCTCTAAGCTTTAAATATTTATTTTACCATTCCACTGTTTTAATATTTATGTGGCAGTTGTGTCCTATTATTAGCGATACTTATACCAAGTTTGGAAGAAAATTATTCTAAAGTCATAGAAGGAAGAACATTTACTTATATAGAAGAAGCAAGAGCACACCTTGGATTCACGTTAAATTTATAACTTGCATTAAAATTCAAAGTAGAATGTTATTTATAAGCTTATCAAGTACGAGAAATACAATTATACATGAATGTATATTAAAATATACATCAATACTCGCAATCAGATAACATAAAGTATCAAAAAATAATTATTTCTTAAATTCCCGAATTAGGAAATAAATTTTTTTTCCACCCCATTTTTGTTCTAAAAATATTTTTCAAAGTTCAAAAAGAATTCGCTTTATCAATTCTAAGCTCTTTCTCGGATACAAAAGAAATTCCTTTTATATATATTCTATATAAACAATTGAGAAAAGACTTCTTTTGGAGTTCCCTTCGAGCATATCATATATAATCACCTGTCCTATTTGGGTATGAAAATACACAAGTAAAAACTTCTTTTCTTTGCTATACCGTGAAGGTTCTTCACCAAACGCAAGTCAAACGATTACGCGACAGGAAGTGTAAAGCGCGAGCAATATCTGTGCATGTTTGAATTATTTGCGACGTTATTAACTTTCTCGTCGAGCGAAGATTTCACTTTCGGAGAAAGTCATCCGGTTGCATTCTTATCGGGAGCCAATTGTGCGTTGGATGCATTTCGCGCCATGATTGAAAATATTGTTTCTTCCGACAACGAAAAAGCGTAACATTACAGTAGTGTGCGAAGCAAGGATTTTTTATGTCGAATTGAATGAAATGGCCAAAATTTTCGAAACGAAGCAAGTCGAAATATAATTTTTAATTAACAATGCAGTTAACAATGCTTGGTCCAAGTGCTTCGTGGACACAGCCCTTGCAGTTATTCCATAAAAGCTGCAAGTTTGATGGCTACATATCTGTATTATACAGGGAGTTTACTCTAAGTTGGGCACGTAGAATATCTCAAAACGTATAAGTTCCAGAAGAAAATTTTTCAGACAAACTTGTAGGGTTTAACCCTTTCAAGACGGTTTCTTTAATGTAGAGTAGCCCTAATTAATTTAGATAATTAAATTAGATAATTAAAAAATAGCTAAAACTATTTTTAGTCCTGTGTTACTAATTGGTACATATGTGTACCCGCAATCTCGAAAGGGTTAAAGTAACACATAACATAGCAATATGCAATCATTGGAGCACTATTGAAACAGCATATTTCTGAGACCAAATGAAGCAAAAAAGTCCTGTACTTTTTTACCCTCCGACAAACAGTTATCGAGATATCATAAACTAAATATTGAAAAAATTATCAATTATCAATTTTACAATTATCAATTTTTTTGAAAAAGTATTAGGCAAATCAAAAAATTTTTCAGACAAAGTTGTACATAATAATTTAGAGATTAAACGAACTTACCAAGTGAAGTTTAATCATAATTATACGATAGTATAATAAACAATAGGGGGTTTAATTAAAAACTTTAAGATAATTTTCACGTAATCTTGACGCTATTCAAGGTCGTTCAGATATTGTTATGTATTAAAGCGTTACTTGTAATGCTACAACTTTTGTCTGAAAAGTGTTCTTCCGGATTCTAAGATATTCTACATGCTCTACTTAGAGGAAACAATCTGTATACAATGTGTGTGTGTGTGTGTGTACCTTTCAAAGTTTCACATGTTTCTAAAATTTTTAGAATAGCTTCATTGTTGATAGATTGACATTTACGTAATCGTAAGTGCATTAAAAATCTGCCGCAATTATAAAAAAAGCTTATGAAATGCGAAACAGAAAATTCACTTAGGTCCAGTTTCACAAACGTCGGTTAACTGTTAACCAGAGTTCAGTCGACTTCCTATCTTTCTCTACCTTGTTATCCAAGAAGAGACAGAGGATCAATTAACCATGGGTTAGCGGTTAACCGACGTTTGTGAAACTCGCCCTTAGTGTGAGATCTATCTGTTTCAGACGTGTACATCTAAATGTAAAGTAATGAAATATGTCAGAAATACGAGTACACGCGAAATTCATACGGCACACATTACGCTGCACGTTTAAACGTGTATAAAGATGAGAGTCCAATGCCAAATTATAAATGCGCTTATTTACTTGACTGACGCGGCATAATGACATCAAATCTAACATGTTTAATATTTTTGGCAATAATTCATCCTGCAAAAATAAAATATAAAACTGTAATACCCAAAATAATTAACATTTGCAATTAATGTCAACACAAGATATAAACTTCTTGGAATATTGTACGGGAAGCATTATTAATTCGGAATGCATATTATATCGATTGAAGAGAGAATGCTTTTTTGTTCTTAAAGTTACTCTCTTAACAAATATTTCCTATACCGCTGCAAAGAACGTTAGAACAAATTAATTTTCATTATTAAGAAAATGGAAAGATGGAATATTACTTAACGTCGACGATTGTAATACCTTTGAATATGATCCATAGTCGAGTGTGCATTGGTATAATCTGTTAAATCGTCATCAGTAACTTTATGGTGAAAATACACATTATTAATTAAATTTGACAGAGTAGCTCCTAAATTATTTGTAAGATAATGCGGCGGGACAAACTCCGATGTCCCAATAAGCATCACAGAATTTATCATTGTGTAATAGTCCCATATACCGTACGCAAATTTTATTCTGAGCGTTTTGGTTTTAAAAATGCATAACCGGTTGGGTAAGGAAAATAATATTAACCTTCCCGTGTTCAAAAAAGAAGTAGTAGGCAATGGTCCCAGAGACTCCTTCCATAATAATACAAATTCATGAATATCAGAAGCTATAGCCGAAATGTCAAGTATTCTAGTATTATTCATTACGTCTACTTCAATACCGATCGGATATACAGCTTCATGAAAAGTGATATCTTTAAAATAGAAAACAGATATAATTAATTCTTAATATATACGTATCTTCTTTAACGAATGAAATATTACGTACCAACATGCTTATTACACTCATTGGCCTCACTTACATCCTGTGGTACATATGAATTCGACAAAATTTGTGCTTTGTTTTGCCATGGAGATAGTGAGATATCGAAAGCATAAGTTCTCTGTATTAAAAAAAATCAAAAAGTATCTAATACAAAATCTTGTTCCATAAAGTTAGATTGTGTTTATTTTTTACAAGGCAATAATAAGTAATACCTGGAAAAACACATACCATAACAAATGTTTCTTTAAAATCTTCATAGTTTGAATGGTTAAAAGGTGTTTCCCATATGTAACGAAAAGTATTATTATCAGTTGGGTGATGAAGAACGTGATAATCCTTCGCAAATTGATAGATAAACGTCTTCTCTCCTGTAGGAATTCCATTTACGATAACTCTACCGATAGAGATCGGGCATTCTCTAGCTCTCTTACCATACAAAGGATAATCGGAAGTTATACTCTTTTGCTGAAAGAAGATATAAGATATAAAAAATAATAATAAATAATAAAGAAATCTCTATTTTTTATATATGTTTAAGTGCTGTACTATAATATCATATATGTATATATCTCTATTAGCCTTAAACAATTTTTGTAATATCATCTAAATTTATCTCACTTCCAGAAAAAAATCACATAAGAGAGAAATAATGCGGAAACTCTGGCTGGAGAGTAAATATTCGATCATTCTTTCAATTTATAACACTAATTAAACGCACAAAATATATAAACGTAATTTAGTCAATGAAATTCTTTAATTTTCTTACCTTTAGAAAATTGTTAAATATTAAATTTTTGACAGACCAATTAAATCTGTATTTCGGAATAGGATCGATTTCGTGAAAGTACAGCGAAAGATAAAAATGTGAGATAGTGTGTAATCGAGGAGGATTAGAACGGAGTGTAAGCGCGTTTCTTCTTAGGTGATACAGAAGCCACTAGGATTTAGTTTACGATGACGAAAAGATTTAATAAACCTGCGATCTTCTTTATAAATTGAAAAAGCTAAGCAAATTTATCAATGCCACACCGAGATTCGAGTTCAATCCAAACGACCTTTACTGTGGACAGATGTTCAAACTCGCTACAACGTAGCGTTCATGTCAACGAACACCGATAGCTCCGAAACTGTCACTCACTGCTTCGAAATCGTCGCCGAACACTCCGACCTCTCCGATATTTCGTTGCGGGGTTTTACTCTGGATCACTACAATGATCTGAAGTTCAACGAATGCTCCGGCTACGATTTCTATCTTTAAATCTGTACTGATTCCTTTTACTACAAATGTGATTCTGTCAAGACCTTCGACTGTAGAGTTCCTATACGTATAAAGCCTTGCGTTTACGATGCTAGAAATCGGCCCGAGATCTCGAACCGAGAAGTATAGTATAGCCAATCAACTTGCAGTTCTTGGCAAAGCTGAAGTTGATTGGCAAAGCTGGAAGTATTTCTAGGATCGAGATCTCGGACCGATTTCTGGCATCGTAAAAATGAAGAATTACGAAATTAATAAAAAAATTGTTCAAAACATTTTTTTTAATGCAACAACGAGCCATTGTAAAATTGTGACAATGTACGTGTTTTTCAATGTAATATTGACGCTATGTCTGTCATTCTAATCTAAAGTAGAATCCTATATACATATATATAATTTAAGTAGAGTGACGCAAACTCTACCCCCACTCTGCCACTGCCGTCCTGAGGAAATCTGCCGGATGTCCTGAGGACATCCGGCGAAGCATCCTCAGGATGTCCTAAGGTCTAAAAAGTGGCGCTCGTTTGCTATTCCCCAGGATGAGGAAGTCCCGGGATGCTCTCAGGACGTCCTCAGTAGGTATATCCGCGAAGTCTGTCCTGGACGTCCTTGTGCTATTTGGATAATAGGGGGGTAGTAAAACATCAGCAGGTTATATACCTATTAAAAAATTTTAATTTTTTAAAATTAATTTTTAAATTGTGTTAAGCATGGACGTAAGAATATATGGACGGAGCGTAATGTAGGATTTAGGACGAGGGGACCCAAGCGAGCGCGGTGAGGGGAAATTGGGTGGCGGCCACCGTAAAACCGTGGTGGCGGCCATATGTGATGACTAGGTGATTTCCCAGTCTACAATAGAGATTTAAGCCCTAAGCCTTAAGAAATTGACTAAGTCCCAGTCTACAATAGATGATTTAAGCTCTAAGCTTTAAGAAATTGGCCAATCACGGTCAAGTACGAGTAGAATACACGACTGTGATTAGTCAATTTCTTAAGGCTTAGGGTTTAAATCTCTATTGTAGACTGGGACTAATGACAGTCGCGCATTCTACTCATACTTGACCGTGATTGGCCAATTTCTTAAAGCTTAGGGCTTAAATCATCTATTGTAGACTGGGACTTAAGGACGCCTCGTGGTAGCGTCGCCGCCATATGTGATGACTACTTTTCCCCTCACTGCTCTGACTCGGCCCCCGCTAACTTACACTCCGTCCATATATTCTTACGTCCATGGTGTTAAGTTATTGAGTCATTAAAAGTATATATTTGATCATTGGTCATTGAAGTTTTATCCATGATGTAAGAATTTAAGAAAGGTGTGCTACCACGCACGACCAATCACAGACACTTCCAAAACGATGCCATATTGGGAAATATCAACCAAGTCTTTTCTTTACACCGGTTGATTTGTCTCATTATTCTGTTCAAAAAAGTATTAAGGTAAGATGATAAAAAAATGAATATTTTACAAGTTATTTTGTAATTTATATCAAAATATTAGAACTTTTAAACCTTAATAACTAAAAAAATTCTTAATAAAAAAATACTTTATTATAGCGCTTTGGAAAGCTCTCGAGAGGTAAGCTATAAGAATGTAATGAAAAATAGGGGTTCCTGTTTAAAAAAACCACTCTGACCTTCAAATAACCTTGCAAAGCAGTCTCAAGGTCAAAGCTAGTTACACAGATAGGTGTCCCCCACTATCTTGAACAACTTTTGTCTGAAACATTTTTGTCTTAAACTTATGGATTTTGAGAGATTTCAGTGCGTAGATTAAAATGGCCTACCCTGTATACGGATACGAGATGCGCGTGGAATTCGAAGAGTTCGGAGCGCGCGCGGGAGAGGAGCGCGCAGGCGCTCTTAGGTGACCCCCCCCCCCCGCTCGGAGACGATCACGTGGTTTATTGATTGCCGTCTGTGATTTACGTGTGCGCTACCGAGATTGCCGTCATCGCCGATGCATCTCGAGTCGGGTGCTCCTGTTCGCCGACCAGTGACCGTTCATGTCACAGGTGAGTCCTCGACGTTGGTCGCACGACCCGTCCCGGTGGTTTGCGCGAATCGTCACGTTCGACGGTCGCGCGTCTTCGGTGCGTCGCTCAGCTCGGGAGGTTATGTTTCGTTTGCTCCGAACACTGACGTCCCGTCTACGTGTGCGCTCAGTTGTTGCGTGCGCGCGTATGCGTGCGTGTGTACGCTCGCGACATCCTTGAGTTTTCGCGAATGCTTGCGAACGCACGTCTCGAGAGAAAGATCGAGGAAACGTTAGTTGGCCGTTGACGCGAAGAGGCAGCCTTGAAGGAGCGGAGAGTTGGCGCGTGTGTGCGAATTTCCACTCGTTTACCTGCGCACAATACTTTTCCCGGTCTATTCTCTCTCGCTCTCGAGTCTTTTGATCCAATTAAAAAAATCTTCCATCGAGTCGGTCGAGGATACGTTGAAGCGCTCTTGGCGCACGGAAGTACGTGTCGATTCGAAAACGAGTGCATTGTTACGAGGAACAAAGCCGCGACCGTCCAGTGTCGTGGCATTTTGACAAGCGTACACTAGTCTTCGACTAAATAATTAGGTTGCTCTTTGCAGCTGAATTTTTCCTACTTTTCACCCACCTTCCCTTTCTCTTAACGACTTAACGTCTATTTGAAGTGTAAAGAGAATAATATTGTCACCTTTCACGAGTTGACATTTGAAAGAAAAAGATTGACGACCGAGTCTCTGAGCTGAGATACTTTTCAGGTGAATGAATCGGAAGGGGCGGTGCTGCGACTGAACCGCTTTGGCAAGTGGGCGATGTGGATTGGCAACAGTCACCGCTGGAACTTCTCGATGGATCAGATATTTCACGATCTTATTCACGAGTGTAAATATGTGGCCCCGGGGGCGCAGCTCACCTACGCGCTGCGGAATCGTCTGGAGAAGTACAAGAGGGACGTGCGGAAGGAGATCGCGTCTCGCATGAAGGACGGCTGCGCGCCGTTGTTTATCGCCTGCAAGCGGGGCCACGTCGAGATCGTCGAGTACCTCGTGAAGAAGTGCGACGCGGACATCGAGCAGAGGGGAAGGTACGAGGTGCCGGACGACAGGTCGGTGCACTGCGTCACCCCGCTGTGGTGCGCCGCGGTGTCCGGAAACCTCGAGGTTATAAAATGTCTCATATCCCACGGCGCTGATGTCAATGCCGTCTCCGACTCTGGCTCCACTCCTGTTAGATCTGCGTGCTTCATGACGCATCTGGGTAACGTGTTACACGTAATTTAGAATATGATTGGGCAAGGGGGGAGAGAATAGGCGGCTAAAGATGTCGTGCGCCTCTCAGGAAACGTATTTCTTGTCAAGTGGGTAGATTTGTAGAGGAATGTCCTCTATTATGAGATAAGCTCCTAATATGAGGTAGCAGGGCTTTTCCTGGACTTATTAGGCATCGTTGGGAAGTAACTTGTTACTTGAAGTTACAGTTATGGCAACTCTAACTTCGTCACTTTCTCCCCGTTTAATTCAGTCTACTTTTGTAACACGACAGATGCAATTCTTTGCCCACTTGTCTCTTCCGATTTAAATGAAACAGCTCAGTAATAATTTTTGCACCCGAAATATTAAATAAATAGATAAATATTTTACAATCAGAGTGCAATATATGCGGTTAAACTAAATTAGAATGTGATCTAATATTAGAATATTAGAGTATGTAGGTCTAGGCCAGATCTACTTTTAGACCCTTTGCAAGTGCCGCAATCTGTGCTGATTACTCAGTGAAATTATTCAAGGAACCGATAATCGAGCGTGTACACCTTATTCGACTTTTGCATTTGTACAAAATTTAATGCTTATCGATGTAATTTGCCAACACTAAAGAGACGCTTATCCATTGCTAAATACATGTTTAACATAGCGCACATTGGATTAACAAAATGACATTGTAGGTAACACATCTTTTTCAGACATTGTCTCTTATTTAGTGGAAAACGGCGCCGACATATTAAAAGCGAATTACAATGGCGGAACGTGTTTGATAAATTCTGTGCAAAGCGTGGAGTTGTGCACTTTCCTGTTGGAGCACGGCGCGGATGTGAATGCCACCGACATTCAGAGCAAGACTGCCTTGCATTATGCCATTCAAGAGCACAGACTTCAAACTACCAAACTGCTCTTGGAACACAATGCAGACCCTCATCTTAGATCTCGTTATAATGATGATGCCCTCCAGACTGCTTGCCTTAAAGGAGCCATTCAGATATTTGATTACTTAGGTGAGATAATTCAGCGGAATACTAGTGCAATAAGAAGCTTGTGCTGTTGTATTGTCCTACTGTTGTATGGCATTTGTGTGTGATTTAGTGGCACACGTGTCGTATTCTGCGGAAAGATTGGCAGACGCAAATGAGCTAATGGGATCTACGTTTTTCGACGATCACAATGACACGCACATGGCGTTGCAATACTGGAGGGTGGCGATGGTCCTCAGAATGTCCAACTTGGACGACGGGACGCCTTTACCAAAGAGACCTGTGTTACCAAAACGCGAAGCTTACAAAAACGCTATGGAATTTTCCAACTTGGATGAGCTGAGCGCTATCTCGCTCGACTTGGACGCAATAAGAATACAAAGTTTGCTGATATGCGAGAGGGTATTAGGTCCACATCACAAGGATACTCTCTTCCGGCTGATGTTTAGAGGTGCATCGTATGCAGACGCGTTAAGGTAAATAGTTTAGCTTTTTAAAATATGTATACTGGGTCGTTGGATATATTTTATTACGTGGCTCTTCTTCGCTAGATATCAGCATTGTATAGATCTGTGGCGTCGCGCGTTAGAAATCAGGGTAGAAAAGGATTCGGTACGTTAAACATTAACATTTTATACAGTCGTAGGTGCATAATATGATTTTTTTTCTATCCTTTTGATGGAAAAAAACTTAATCAAATTTTGCCCACTCTTTTTTGCAGATTTTGTACTCGGATACTTGCTTTACCGCGCAAGCTCTTGTAAGACTTATGGTAGATCTAAATGAGAAAACGTTGGAGGTGGTGGATCGTAATCGAGAGAGGCAGGAGCCGCGGTTTTGCGATGTAGTAGCGATATTTAAATTACTTACTGGCAAATTGACGGAAGCTAAAGAGCTTCTAGAGGTATGTAAGAATTGCGTGTGTATTATACAGGGTAGGCCATTTTAATCTACGCACTGAAATCTCTCAAAACCCATAAGTTTAAGACAAAAATGTTTCAGACAATAGTTCAAGATAATGGGGGTCACCTGTGTAACTAGCTTTGACCTTGAGACTACTTTTCAAGGTTATTTGAAGGTCAGAGTGGGTTTTTTTGAAATGGGAACCCCTATTTTTTATTACATATTCTCATAGCTTACCTCGAGAGCTTTCCAAAACGCTATAATAAAGTATTTTTTTTATTAAGGACTTTTTGAGTTATTAAGG